TGTACTTCTTTTGGTGTGTTTTGCTTCTGAGCCACCACTCGTGCGCGACATGGGGGTTGACGCTTTCATGGGTTCATGCACCTGAAAACAAGTTGACTATCTGAGAGAGCCTGTGCAGGAATTTCGGGGCTATTCCAGTAAATTGGAGCGTTTTAGTGCAACATTTCGTGTGGATTATGGTAGCTCAGTTATGCACGAAAGGACCTTCAAAGCAAGTCATGGTCCGAGCATTGTTCATGAGGAATCCCTGGTTCTAAGTCAAGGTTCGTAAGGATCAGAAATTTGTGTACCGTAATCACGACGAACTGCCGCATCGAAAATATATCACTGAATTTGAAAATTGCTGTGGAGACAGAATAAATAAGATCTCACGTACCGCTACGGACTTGCGCTTGCCATGTTTTGTATCTGAGCCACCACCCGGGCGCGACTCGGGTTTTGACGCTTCTTTGGATTCACGCGACTCGGGTTTTGACGCTTCTTTGGATTCAGACTCCTGAAAACAAGTCAACTACCTGATAATGTTGGCATCGAAATTTCGGGCCATTCTAACAGACTGGAGTATTTTGGTGCGGTTGTGCGTGCGAGTTACGGTAGCTCCTGTTGTGAATGAAACGTTCTCCAAAGTAACGACATGTTTCAAGCTTTGCTTTTCCGCAGTATCTGAATGAGATTTTATGCTGGGATTCGTAGAAAGACGACTAGCCAGAGGGATGAAGACCTTGTGTGAGTCTAGAAGAGCTGGAGGTGAGCTAAGGGACCCTTTAGATTCCCATTTCTCTTTTGAACTAAATAGGTGGGCACTTTGCGCTCTGCACCGGAATGCTCCTCTTCACTGGAACAACGCCAAAACATCGCCATAGAAGCGTCCGGCAAGTTGGAAGAAGGAAATTCCACGTACCGTTGACGACGCTCGCTTGCTAGCTTTCTTCATTGGCGGAGCTCGCTTGCTAGGTTTCTTTCTAGAGCGTATTTTCCCCGAGAAATCACTCGGCAGAGGCGGTTTTTCACATCCAAGTGCCTGCAAAGGGGGTGACTTGGGAAGGGCCTATAGTCAGAGAAAGAACAAGAAAACCTCTTCAGAAGTTTTGGAAAATATCCTGTGCACCGCTCCATGAACTTTCGAACATGAGCTCGAACTACTTCTTAATAGGGACCTCGAACTAGGGGATTCTAAAAATACCTATGTCTGTGTTTTTTCGGACGCATATTCTAGAAATCCAACTTGAGTTCCGCTCCTATGTAAAAGCACGTTAACTGACCTAAGAAAGGATCGTTGTCCGCCATCTTCTTCCACTCGGCGCTGCTTTACAGTGTCATTTCTGGCAAGAAATGAACCTCTCCTCAAAGACTGATCCTTTTGTCTGGAATGAGATCCTGCCAGATATCACCCCAAATGAATTTGATACTTCCTACAAATGATCATGCGAGATCAGATGATTATGCCAGGCTGCTTGCGTTGTGCGTTCAACAACAGAAACAATTTTCTCATGTTGAAATCCAGAAAGCGGTTCATTGACAAGAGCGACAAGTTCTGGTCTATCGCGAAAGAGACCAGAAAAGTAAATAGTTCATAAAATGGAGAAAGTTGCAGGGATGAACTCGAGAAGGTGCTAGTCACAGATTTCAATTCAGCCCAGCTTTTCCTTAGCGTTAGTCACCCAGAATTGCGGAGTCTGCTGTTCTTGTTAGATGTTGCCATTTCCTCCTGTCCAAGGCATAGCCGCATTGTCACTGACTTTAGAGGGATCCTGCTTGCTGGATTCCTTTCATTTACTCTATCGAGTCCTCGCGGTCGCTTGCCCGTCCTATTTTCGTGGTCGGTGATGCTCTCTCCTTCGGTCTTCTTTAGCACGCCGATACTACTGTAGTGGGAGACGAGCCCGAAAATGGACAATAGCCGGGTTTGGCATGACCATCTTGAAACTGTTCCCTGACCTATGCCTTGTCGATTTCAGCCCGTAGGCACATCGCAAGCGTTCCTCATTTGAGGCGGCAGTGAAGCTGGCTTTTCCTACATTTCTGAGTGCCATTCATGGCTTGATTGGTACCGCATCAGGGCTCAACCTTTTTTCCTAATCTTTACCACTCCCCTTCACGAACCTTAATGATGCCGTTCCAGGTTGCGATGGGGTCAGCAGTCCGCCAATTATTTCAAAGCGGCGCACTGGTGGTACTCCTCATTCAAGAGCTGTAGCAAAGTATTCTTATTCACACATAGAGTTTTCCTGGAGCGTTCCAGGATTGTCGAGTTCTTTCAGTAGGATGACGTTCCGGCTTCTCGCCTCTTCGAAGCCTCTCGCCTCTGTCGCCGAAAACCGAGCACACCACCCAGTATGTAAGCCTGATGCGTTTCAGCGCTAATTCAGATACTCACTTTCATGTTTTCAGCGTCGTCATGAAAATCAGCTAGTTCACACCCCCTCCACGATGTACCAAAAAGTAGCAGAAATAGTACCAGTAATCAAATAAACAAGCAGGTATCCGCGTCCAGGTGACCACTTGATGAGTGTAGGAAATGGAGAGCACACTTCCCGGAAGTATAAAGTTCAGGTTTTACTTCCACTTCAGGCAACACGTTTGTTACCGTACACCTAAACTAGTGTCTGTGGGACGTGCCCTGCGCCATATCATGTTTATATCGTCGGCGCTTACTCTCACTGAACGAACGCGATGTTCGTGTTTATGCCGTCAAACTACCCCCGTGAACACAATACAATTCTGGATGATACTATACCTTCGGCGAAAATCCAGCTTACATTAGGAGGATGGAGTTGAGAACACAAACGTCGGATTTCTAACTGCGTTCGATGAGCATCTGTGTAAGAGGGCCCAATATTTGGGCTAAGTGCTGTACGAACCCCGATCCCATGGCAAAAAGATTTGGTGGGGGGGACTGTTCAGCTTAGTGGGGGGGGTCTCACCTGAGCTTGTACAGGCCTCTTGCGAAGACCTGCAATTTCCTAACAATAAGATCAAAGCGGCTTACTGGTACAACTTAGCAACTTCACAGGAAATTACAGGTTTGACTTTGGTGAAACCTGTTATTCAAAAGGAGCCAGCAAAAGTGTAAAATGCCCCTTTCGAGCTGAACAGCGCCAACTTAGGCGTTTATGAGACCTCCACCCGCACTTTGTTCGTCAGAATCCTGCTTCGCAAAGAAACGAATGGATTCCTCCTGTTATTGCCCTTCCGGTGTCTCGTAGCGTCCTTGGGTTCAAACTGTTCCACGAGTTTTTTTTTCTATCATTTCGAGCGGTTAGCCTTAAGTTTCCAAACCATTAAACCCCATCGCGAATGTCCTTCGAAAGTCCCTTTGATAAATGGTTCTTAGTTGCGATGATGCTGAGAGAGGGTTGTTTGCATCTCATCACTATCGAACTAGAACCACTTAGAGTGTTTTTCTCACTGTCAACTTGGGGATAATTTTCACCGAATCAAATGTGCGTTTAGGGTTTTTTCGAGTGCCAATTGGGATGAGAGCCAGATTCGAAGCTAAGGGAAAGCGAAATTGCGGTAGGCGAAGGTCACCGAGACTTGTTCGCCCAGCGTAGCGTAACGATGTTACGCAACTTCGGCGATGACTGCTGCGACCAAACGATCGAGATCATCGGCTCGTGCACAGGAGAGATCTCACATTGAGAATGAACTTCGATCTTTTGAATGGAAAACCTTAACTGCTGTAGTATAGGCTAACAATCAGCTCTTCACGGGACTTGAGACTTTTTGGACAATTTTCAGGACAGTTACGAGGAGATCCATACTCTTTGATCCCCAGCACTCCTGCGATGGCCTTCTATAGCTAACCCCTACTCTACAGGTATGAAAATATGCGTGTAATCGATCCGGGATCGTCAATACATACACCAGCTTTGGAATCCCAAATGTGGTCGTCGAACAAGTTTGGAGTGGTGTTGATGCCTGTCAGCCCCCCTGGTTGCTGGCTGCCTGTCTACGCGTGCATGAGCGCGTGAGGCGAGTCAAGCTTTAGCCTTCAAGCTAGGTCGCGCCGAAAATCTCAAGCGAGAGAAGGTCAATTGCCCCGATAGCAAGCACGTTTCTCGTTGGCAGTTCCAGTTTTATCCAACGGGTGTACACGATAATCTGCGAATGTACAGCAACCTTTGTTTTTTGCTCACTTCCTCATTCGATCTTATCGCCCAGCGAATTTAACAGATTGGAATCTTACCCAAAATTAAGGGAAGCTGTTGGCTGCCATAGAGCTGAATCCTAGCGCTTCACTGGATGGGTGGGCTACGAAATGACGGCGTGGGCTAAGCGTGTACCAAGTCTTGTTCTTATTCCAGTGAGTTCGGACACTAAATCGTCAGAGCTGGAAACCACTCAGTAAGAGACGGAAGACACAGGATTTGAACGGCTGCGACACGTGCAACTATCCCACCCGCCGTACGCAGTTGAGTCCGGTCTTTTAATGGCTCATCTGGTCGGTCATACGCTTTGAAGAACTCCTTGCCTTGGCTAAAACAGCTCAGTAATTACAGGCGCTCCATTTTTCCTACCAGTCTCTCTGTCTTTTGAAAAATAGATCAGCGTATGGATGTGTACCCTTAGAGGTTCATCTGATCGGATAAATTTAGAATCAAATGCTAACAGTACTGAGGGACGACGAACTGTTGGACGTACCGGTAGGTGGCGTAAGCCTTTACGGAGGAAAACTAAAAAAAAAAAAAACCGGGGCTTTTCCTGTTATAAAATTCTAGGAAATGAAGTGAGGCGCAGCATTCCTCAGGGAGTATAGAAGTATGAGGCGAATCTACTGGTCTAGGTGAGAACCAGTACTTCAATGGCACGTCGTTGTTGGGGATTCAGCAAGGGGTAGGGGAGGGGGTCGTTTTCGCGTCGCTGATGGGGAGAGAATGGACGCGTGTCTTCACTTTTGAGCTGACTTTTCTCGGTTTCTCCGTTTTGAGTGGCATAAGTACCTATCTTCAATATCAACGCAGGTTTTGCATGGTATGAGAAAACTCCGCAAAAGTGGCAGAAAAGGGCGAGAATTTGGGGTATACTAAGCAAGATGGATGAGGAAGGGAGGTCGTATCAGGGAGGTTCGGAGAAGGGAGTCGTAGATCTCTGATAGTGCCGTGAAGCGCAGGCGTGCTACGGATTTATCAATATCTCGATCACCTTAGCAGGTAGAGTGGGTAGAGACAAGCTGAGCCGTAAACCTGACGTCAAGTAAGTCTCCGATCGCCTCTCGCTCAAGACAAATGAGGCCTTCTACTCCTAGGCTCGGTAAATAGGCATCAGATATTTCTTTTAAGACAAAAATGCTGACGGGTCCATAGAATGAATCGTGTACATAGGTCATTGCATAATCCAACGCCACAACATTTTTCAGTGGTGGTGAAAGCAGATCGTAGCTCATTCCAACAGGGATTGATGAATGTTAGAAGCTTTATTCCTTTCACGGGACGGATTGTTGATCCAGCGAGATCGGCGGTTCTAAAGACTCGCAGACGATTAGAGCAACAAATTTCCCATTTTCCATTATCGTAGTGAAGACTCCAGCTTCTGAGTGAAGAAGAATCGACACCGCCCCTTGAAGTTCTCAGCTAACACCAAAGGAACTACTTACTGCCACCAAACGATAAGTAGTAATCTAGCCGTGAAACATAACCGACAACTTATGAATCCATAATGATCGTGAATTCCTTGACCCATTTAGCGTACAAACCCTGCCCAAAAACCACTACCACTCGAGAATTTCGCCTTATATAACGGAAGAATGTTATTCACCGGAGCTCGCCACAGATTAAACACTGGAACCTAGGAGATCGTTTTTTGGCAACTTCTGCAAACGACTGGGCATTGATAAGTACTGGTCAGAGTAAAATCATTTTTGTGACAGAAAAAGGTGTGGACGGTCCAGCACACCATGGGAAAAGCTAAGAACACGTTAGGCATATATCATCC